AACCGTAGGTGTAATTTAGCATAACAAAAAATACCAACTTCGATGGTTTTTATGTGATTGATGGAGTTTCGCCTCAAGGGTAATTTTGGTATAAAGTCAAGTTACTACATCCTGTACCCTGGAACCAAAACCCTTAGCATACCACGCACACTTCTTCATAGTTCATCCCTCTCTGTTGCCTTCTACCCTTTACATTTCTCCTCATTTTTCTCTTTGGTAGGGTTTCGATCGCAATTCGCTAGCAATGGATGATGTATCCGAAGGCAAAGATTTCTCGTTCCCAAAACAAGAAGAGAAGATCTTAGAATGGTGGACTGAAGTCAAAGCATTTGAAACGCAGCTTGAAAAAACCAAAGACCTACCGGAATACATCTTCTACGATGGCCCTCCGTTTGCCACTGGTTTACCTCACTACGGCCACATCCTTGCTGGAACAATCAAGGACATCGTCACTCGGTACCAGACCATGACCGGCCACCACGTCACACGGCGGTTCGGTTGGGACTGCCATGGCTTGCCGGTGGAGCATGAGATTGACGTCAAGCTAGGGATTAAGACCAGAGAGGATGTGATTAAGATGGGGATTGGTAATTACAATGAGGAATGTAGGAGTATTGTTACTCGGTACGTTGGGGAATGGGAGAAGGTAATTACGAGGACGGGGAGGTGGATTGATTTTAAGAACGATTACAAAACGATGGATTTGAATTTCATGGAGAGTGTTTGGTGGGTGTTTTCTCAGTTATTTAAGAAAAACCTTGTTTACAGAGGGTTTAAGGTTAGTTCTTCATCAGATTTGTTTTGTTTATTTTACTTGCAAATAACTTCCTTCAATTCTGAATTTGGTAAACTGAACATTGTCAATTCGATACTCCATTTGCTCTACAAAATGTGTAATACCTTGTTGTGGCGTTGCTGTTCATTTAACAGGTGATGCCCTACAGTACAGGCTGCAAGACTCCATTGTCAAATTTCGAGGCTAATTCAAACTACAAGGTTTGAATTGAGTTTTTACCCCTTGTTTTCCATTTAAACCATTCTAAACTCTTTTGCATCACCTTTAATCTCTTGAACAGGAAGTGCCTGATCCTGAAATAATGGTGACATTTCCAATCGTTGATGATCAAGAAGGTGCTGCATTTGTTGCATGGACAACCACACCATGGACACTGCCTAGTAATCTTGCACTTTGTGTCAACTCTAATCTTGTATATGTCAAGGTTAGTCATCAGAAAGTTTGAAGTTTTATTTGATTTATGAAGTTAAATGAATAGTTGATGTTGAATCTAAATACAACCAGGTGAAGAGCAAATCCAATGGAAAAATCTATGTAGTTGCTGAATCTCGATTATCAGAGCTTCCAGTAGAAAAGGCAAAGAAAGGAACACCAAATGGAGCTGTGGATGACAAGTCCAAGGGAAAAACTAAAAGCTCTGTGGTGGCTTATGAAGTGTTGGATAAATTTCCAGGATCTTCACTTGTGGGTAAAAAGTGAGTGTGTTTGTCCTCATTCTTATCACTAAAGATTACCATACTCAATGTAGTCTTGTTTAAATCTTGAATAATCCAATTTTGTTGCAGGTATGTGCCATTATTTGATTATTTCAAAGAATTCTCAGATGTGGCATTCCGAGTTGTTGCGGATGATTATGTAACTTCAGATAGTGGAACTGGAATTGTTCACTGTGCTCCAGCATTTGGTGAAGACGATTATCGTGTTTGTTTGGAAAATCAAATCATTAATAAGGTCTGAAGTATGTTAATTACATATGCATTGTTTCTTGTATATATAATTTTTCAAATAACAAGATCATACTTTTTCTTGTATATCCAGGGAGAAAATCTAGTTATGGCAGTTGATGATGATGGCTGCTTTACAGAAAGAATTACTGATTTCATTGGTCGATATGTCAAAGAGGCAGATAAAGATATCATTCAAGCAGTGAAGGCAAGAATAGTTGAATGTTATATGATTATAAACAGGGGCAAATGCGTAAATTAAATAATGACTCTTTTTGTTATGGATGTACACAGGAGAAGGGCAGGCTGGTCAAGACTGGAAGCTTTACACATTCATATCCATTTTGTTGGAGATCTGATACCCCTCTTATCTACAGAGCAGTTCCCAGCTGGTACCCTATTTTTCCTTATATCTTATGCAAAAGACGTGAATGCCCTTCTCATCTTTATTATCTTTAGTGGGATAAAGTGGTATCATTATTAGTTTATTCTTGTTTCTTGGTCAAGGTTTGTAGCAGTAGAGAAGTTGAAAGATCAATTGCTAGAAAACAATGAGAAAACAAAATGGGTTCCTGCTTTTGTGAAGGTATGTCACTTGTCTATTTTCAGTTGGTTTTTTCGGAAAGAGCAAAAAAAAAAAATTTAATGTGTTCTAATGTGGTTAAAGGCAGTGTTTTATATGATAATAAATAATTCATATGAACATCCATTTCATTTCTATATTCCAACCAAACATGATCATGGAATCATGGAATGTAACGACTCATTCCATTACCTTGCCTATTCCAATAGTCCATTCTCACATTCTGTTCATTTGTTATTCCATTCCATCTAATAATGCAGGAAAAAAGATTTCATAATTGGCTTGAAAATGCAAGAGATTGGGCCATTAGTAGAAGTAGATTTTGGGGCACTCCTCTTCCTATTTGGATCAGTGAAGATGGTGTAGATATTGAAGTTATTGGTTCTGTTGAAGAACTTGAAAAGCGTTCAGGGGTGAAAGTAAGTGCACATCTGTATTGGAACTTATATATATATATAATTGGAATATACATTCCTATCTTGTTTAAAGGTGTTAAAAATATAAACTTTCTGATTCCTCTTTCTCCTTCTCACAGGTTACTGATTTACATCGCCACAAAATCGATCACATCACAATTCCTAGCCCACGTGGTGAAAAGTTTGGTGTGCTTCATCGTGTAGAAGATGTAAGAAAATGAATCATATGTAATTCTCAGAATAAAGAGCAATATTATTTTCTTGATTGATGAATTAATATTATTTGTTGCATGGTTTCAGGTATTTGATTGTTGGTTTGAGAGTGGGTCAATGCCATATGCATATATCCACTACCCTTTTGAAAATGAAGAATTCTTTCAAAAAAATTTCCCTGGACATTTTGTTGCAGAGGGCTTAGATCAAACTCGTGGATGGTTTGTTTCTCTACTTTCATTGTGATATAAATTCAGTATATTTGAGAAACCTGTAGCAAATGCATCCATACAATATAAAGCAAAAATAAATGCTTCTTTCAAACAGAAAAGCTCCATTCATGTCTCTTTATCTTTGAAACATTAAATGGCAGGTTTTACACTCTGATGGTGTTGTCAACTGCATTATTTGAGAAACCTGCATTTAGGAATCTCATCTGCAATGGCCTTGTGTTGGCTGAAGATGGTAAAAAGATGAGCAAAAGATTGAAGAACTATCCTTCTCCCATGGAAGTCATTGATGATTATGGAGCTGTAAGTTGTCCAATTTGGACTAGTTGAATAACATATATTCATATATACAGAGAGATTGTTTGACATTGTAATTTTGTTTGTTTAACAGGATGCACTACGATTATACATTATAAATTCTCCAGTAGTGCGTGCAGAACCTTTACGCTTCAAAAAGGATGGAGTCTATGGTGTTGTGAGTAGACTCTCTTAAACTTCCACCTTCCCCCTTTTTTTTTTTGTGATTTTGCTAATTTGAAAGCTGATTGATTTTGTATGCAGGTGAAAGATGTATTTTTACCATGGTACAACGCGTATAGATTCCTTGTACAAAATGCAAAAAGACTTGAAGTTGAGGGGCTTCCACCATTAGTTCCTCATGATCCAACCACTCTTCTCAACTCAGCTAATGTTCTTGATCAATGGATCAATTCAGCCACTCAGAGTCTTGTTCATTTTGTCAGACAAGAAATGGATGCTTATCGACTCTATACTGTAAGCTTCCATTTCTCTTTATACATAATACATATACATATACATATATGGATGCTTATTTGTGAGTTCTTTCACAGGTTGTTCCTTATCTGTTGAAGTTCATTGACAATTTGACGAATATATATGTAAGATTTAATCGTAAGAGACTTAAAGGTCGCACTGGAGAAGAAGATTGCAGAATTGCACTTTCAACTCTCTACCATGTATGCTTTTCATTTGAACATTCTTTTTTTTTTTTTAGTTTTTAAATGGTTTTGATTTAACGTTCTTTCTTTTTTGTTTTCAATTGGATTTCATAATTAGTTTGTATTTTCATTCTTTTTAGGTGCTTTTAACTTCTTGTAAAGCAATGGCTCCATTTACACCCTTCTTCACTGAAGTTCTTTATCGAAACTTGCGAAAAGTATCAAATGGATCAGAGGAAAGCATTCACTATTGCAGTTTCCCTCAAGTAGAAGGAAAGGTACATTTTTTTTTGCTTGTGATAGCATCTTCCTTTCAAATCAATTTATTAAAAAATGAAAATTGAACTTTGAAACTTTTTCTTGATAAGCCATTGTACCCTATTATAACAGTCTACTTTCATTCCTTTTTCTTATTATGACATTGTACTCTGAAAAAAACTACCAAGTTATAGCAGTGAATACAGCTATAAGTGGGTAGATTTTTCAAAGTGCAATGCTTTAATAGGAAGAAATGAAAGCAGATTCATGCTATAATAAACAAAAATAAAGGAAAAGTACATTGCATTTTACTCTAAAAACATTTGACAATTTAATGATGTTTCAGGGGGGAAGTCGTATTGAACAAAGTGTTAACAGAATGATGACAATTATCGATCTTGCACGTAATATTCGCGAACGCCACAATAAACCTCTCAAGACTCCACTTAGGTAGACTCTGATTTTGTATTTGTAACTCCTTTCTTTTATGACAATTTACATGATTGCCCTTTTCTTTAGAACTGAGACTGATTTATTACATGGTTTCAGGGAGATGATTGTTGTACATCCAGATGCTGAGTTTCTTAATGACATTGCTGGGAAACTGAAAGAGGTTAGTTTTGTATATTTATTGTTGATGTGGCATGTTTTATTGAAACAGATTTGTTAAATAGTAGCCAAGTTTCAGTTTTCCTCCAATGTGAAGATACTAAAGGGATAGTGTCACTAACTAGAGTAACCAAGTTTCAGAATTGTTTACTTGGATGGCAAATTGGGAATTAACCTTTCATCTTACACTTCAAACCTTTTGTTTTCTCCAATGTTGATAGAAATGCTCTTTTCACCTTTGGATTTGCCATTTTTTGTTAATGTGATTAATTGGTTGAATATTCATATGACAGTATGTGTTAGAGGAGCTGAATGTTAAATCTGTTGTTCCCTGCAATGATCCTTTGTTGTATGCTTCTTTACGCGCTGAACCTGATTTCAGGTACTTATATAAATCCTTCTATTATTTATTTATTTTTATTTTTGTAGTGATCTCTTTTTTCTTGTTCTATTTTTCTTCTTGAAAGCACAACATACTTGATACTTTTACCATCTTATTGGTTTAGCCACTTACAAATATATCTTTTTGACCTTTTTAAAAAGAGCAAAATACAAAAAAGCACAGAATACTTTCGGTATTTTATCAATGTAGCCACTGAACTATCAATTCTTCTACAAAACCGAGTAACTGGGGAACATGTCTTCCTAAAAAGTCAAGTAAGCGTAATGGTTTAATTTTAACACTACAAAACTTAGTTAAGTGGCTTAATTGGTAAAAATGGTGAACATACTTTTTTTCTCTTTCTTTATGTATTTCTCTTTAAAAAGTAAAGTCAAGTTGATGATAATGAAGAGGTAATAAATGGCCACCCAGTGTGTGGACTAATAATATAGACACATTAACTAAAAACAACAGTATGATAGAACTAGTTTTTTTTTTTTTTTTTTTTTTGCATATTAGTGTGTGTATTTAATTATCTTTACATGTTCATTATGCATATTTTATCCTTACCTTTTAGTTTTAGATAGGTGCTTGATGTTGGTATTTAATTTTGTAGTGTTTTGGGAAAAAGACTGGGGAAGTCAATGCGAGTAGTTGCTGAAGCAGTGAAAGCAATGTCACAGGAAGAAATTTTAGCTTTTGAAAAATCAGGAGAAATTACCATTGCTAATCACTGCTTAAAGCTCTCTGATATCAAGGTAACAGTTATTAAGGGTAAACAAATGTAAGTAGGTTGTTGTTAACTTGTAATAGGTAAAATAAGAAGGTACATTTAATGCACATATTGTGATATTGGTAAAAAGACATTGCTATATAATTATATATTTGATTGTATTTCAATTCACCATTTTTAAAATGGAATGTTGGCCTTGTAGATTGTGCGTGGATTTAAACGACCCGATGGAGTGACCGAAGACCAAATGGATGCATCTGGTGATGGTGAGGAACCTCGACACCTTTTTTTTGAAATTATATTTTTAAATAAATAATTGTTTTTTTATTTTTTATTTTAATAACAGATTAATATTATTATTTATAACTTTTAATCAGGTGATGTGTTGGTAATATTGGACTTACGCCCTGATGACTCCTTGTTCGAAGCTGGTTTTGCACGTGAGGTATTATTATTTATTCTATTACAAACTAAAATAACAACACTTTGCTTTTCAAAGGCCCCTAATATTGAAAATTGTTATATACCATTTTTTTCTTGATTTGGTTTGCATTTTAAGTGATCTGTTTGGTGATTGATAAATAATTAAATATTAATAGGTGGTTAACCGTATCCAAAAATTACGGAAGAAATCTGCGCTTGAGCCCACCGACATTGTGGAGGTCTACTTCAAGTCCTTGGATGAAGACAAATCAGTAACTGCCCAAATTTTAAAATCTCAGGTCAATTCATTATTAAAAATATTATTATTATTATTATTATTATTACACATCAGTGTATTGTATTAATTGTTATTGTTTATGGTTATTTTTAACATGTGGTTTTCCTTTTATGCAGGAAGCATATATCAAAGAGGCGATAGGTTCTCCTTTGCTAGACTCTAGCCTAACTCCAGAACACGCTGTAAGATTTCATATGCATGTTATATGTAATATTTATTTTTTTAATACTTGTAGTTTTATATTATTAATTAATTTAATATGTATATTCAATTCAAAATTTTCTTGTGATGCATGTTATATTGTAATTTGTAAAAAGCTAATAAGTAGAAAAGGTTGTTATTGAAACTCTACAAAAAAAAGGAATATTCCTTTTTTTGTTTTGTATCCAAATTGTAAAATAGTATTTGTTGTTGGGAATTTGCAGGTAATGATTGCTGAGGAGACGTATCACAACATTTCAAATTGCAACTTTCAGATCACACTCTCAAGACCAGCTTTAGCTTTTAACAATAAAGCGATTCTTCATTTATATTCAGGTTACCTTTTTTCTTTTTTTTAAAGAATTTCTTAACAAACTAATATATTATTATTATTATACATAAGTATTTTAAATATGATTTTGAAACCATTTAACAAGTTACTTTTGTTGTGAATAGGGAATGCGAAATATGCAAATGCATTGAAGGTATATTTGTTGTCCAGGGACCACTTTAATCTCAAAACAGAATTTCTAGTGGGAATTAACAAGGTTCGTCGCCTTATTTTATTTATCTATATTTTTTTTTCCAAATTTAAAAGCGATTAATTAATTTTAATTGTGTTACAGATTAAAGTGGATTGCATTGAAAATCAGCCCGCTATTGATGTGGTGTTGGGAGAACACATGTTCTTAACAGTTGGGGATTATTACTCCCAAACCACCACCAACAACTTTTCTTGAAATAACTTTTACTATAATGATTAAGAGGTTTGTCAATTAAAAATGTTGTTTTTTTTTTTTTTTTAATGAAGAAAATGGAACAAGGAAGATAGACTTTATTATATAAGACAGTTAGTGTTGTTTGGTCCGTTTTTGTGAGTGTTTTTGTTCATTGTAATTTTAGTAAGATGGTGTTTATTTTTATAGTTTTATACAAAAATTTTCATACTAAACGTTTTCTTTTTGGGTAAACCTAAACCAGTACCTGTAGGCTGTAGTCATATGATTGGTCATTATGTATCTGTTGTTTGTTTCAAATGTGTTTTTCTTTGTTTGGAGTTGCGTATGTTTATATGCTAAATTTTGCTTCAACTTCAAGAAAGGGGAAAACTGAAAAATATTGTTTTGATGTTGAAAATAAAAGTAGGATCAGATCCTGATGATGAAGATATCACTAAATCAAACAAGTCTGGTATTTTCCATTTTTTGAATTCTGCCTATTCTACACATTTGTAGGATGTGATTGTATGCCTAGTTAACCAAACATGTAGTTTACTCTACTTTTATCAGTACGATGTTTTTGCAAACTAAGAGCCTTTCATGAAATAACAATTTAGGGTTCATGAAGAGTCTTTATTTCATGTTTTTACATTCAATAATAGACATTGTAGGCCATATATCTGATAAGTTAATAGCAATTAATGCTCATATGGTGATTTGGTTTTGTACAACTACACATCCCAAATGTTAATGGGATATTATCATCAATGAGCTTAATCGTGGAGAACTTTCTACGATCAAAAGAATAGTAGAGTGTTACAGAAATAGATGCGCAATACAAACCAATAAGGAGACGTATGTACCACAAAAGAAGATCCTTTATAGAGGGATGCATAATTCACACATACTTGAAGATATGTATATGACAACAATTGCGACATGGACATTAGTATTCTCTTCTTAATTTGTTTATTTTTTTTTCCAAAGCACAAATCTCATTGACGCTTATTGGTCCGTATAGAATGTTTCATCCCTGCACGTAAGCTAATTGAACATATCCAATGACCCCTCCAATAAACTTCTTCAATCCGGTAACACAAGATCTTAATGATAATCTTATATACACATCCAATGAGACTAATGGGACGATAATCAGAGAGGGTTAATGGATCCTTGATTTTAAGTGCTAGTGTTATGAATGATGAGTTACAGCCCTTAGATAAGGTACCATATTCCTCAAAATATCGAATAAATCCCATCACATCTTCCGAGATAGTACCCCAATATTTCTTTATGAATTTGAATGTGAGTTCGTATGGTCCCGAAGCGTTATCACTGCCACATGCCCGAACTGCATTTTTAACTTCTCCTGATGAAATTGGTGCCTCAAATCTGATTGCATCCATCTTGGAAATCGATTTGAAATGAGGCTAGCTTGATTAATTTTGGTCAGTATGACCAATATTCTTTGAACTTGCTTTGGAAGAATTTGAATACTTTTTTTTTTTTTTTTCAATGATCTCCTATGTCCATCGTCCATTGATCGACAGTCCTGTTATTCTATTCCTCCTGTTTTTACTATCGATATGACCATGAAAATAATTTTGTGTTTTTGTCCCCATCTATGGTCCAATTGATTATGGCTTTTTGTTTCAAGTCTAATACCATCATTCTATTCTTTCAAGTTCAAGTATCCTATGAATCCCAAAGTTTTTTTTTTTTTTTCGATAGTTCATTGTTAGATAGTATGTGGTGTTCTGCTGCTTTCTTAAGTGCTAAACACTTTCCTTCAGGTCAAGTAGCTCTTGATTTTCTTTTTGATGATTCACTTTCCTCCGTTGCTTAATTGCCTCATTTATCTAGAGTGCCATATCCTGAGAAATTCCCATAGGCTTCGATAACTGTTTAGTCAATCCCATCGATTAATAACCATGAATTGAAGCACTTGAATGTAGCTGAGCCAAAACATGACGCATCTTGTTTAAGTGTAATTGGACAATGATGAGATAGTTCAAGAGGATGAGCTGTCACAATTACACCAGGAATTCAGACACTAAATTAGAAAAAAACTAGAAACCTGTCTAATTTGCTTAATTTGGCATCAACACGTGTCATATATATGTGTATCTCTCACTGCCCATGTTAAACTCTTGTAGACCGGCCTCATATATGAAATTTATTTTGTGAGCAACCATCAACCTACGCACCCATTGAGTCTTAATATCCTCCTCTGTGCCTCTTATATTTAAGGATAAGCAATTCATTGATTATGAATTTGTTGTACACCTAATTCGCCAATAAGTTGTTCTAAGATTCCATTGTCATCGTCAAAATGAAAACCAATCTTTGTTCTAATATCAAGTATGCACAACTTTTCAACTTGAACATGTAACATGCACGACTTGTGGAGTTCAACCTTTTCAACTTTAAACCTATGCAACATCTCAACTTTAATTTAGCTTTAAATCAACCTAACAACGTTTGAGCTTAAAGTCAAAATGACTATGTTTCAACTAAAAAAAATCAACATAACAACGATTCAAATTTAAATCAACATAATTACACTTTAAATCTAACATAATATTTCAAGTTTAAATGAAGATAACAACTTTACAATATTTTATCTTTAAAATAAGGGTATTAAATAAACTAACCATTAAATTAATGTTGTCAAAAAAATAACAAAACTTGCGTTTAGTTACGGAAAAATAGTTTTTTTTTTTCCGTTTTTAGTTTTCATAAAAATGAAATATGGTTTTATTTTTAGTTTTTTTTTAGAAAATTTAGAAAACGTGTTTAGTTAAAACTTATTCATATTTTATTTTCTATTTTAGAAAATAAAAAAACATATTTGGATGTATATTTTTTCTACTGGTTTTCATTTTCAGAAAACTATTGTAGCGGTGACGGTTGGGAAAAAAATGTTACTATCATATCAAGTCCACCCCTATCTTCTAAACCTTTTATATTATATTTTATTTTCTTCAACTTCTAATATTTTATAATAAGAGTGTTTATGAAAATATATCATTTTATTGTTGATTTTGATATTTGATTTATACAAATATATCATTTTATTTTGGTTTCTTAACAAACATGAGAGCGCCGTGACTGTTTTTTTCTTTGTACTTTATCGTATATGAGAATGAATTATGAACTCTTTGAACGTTTTAATTTTCGTGATTATTCAAATATTGAAAAACTCAACAATCATGATCATTTTTGTTAACAACCTTATTATTAATGGTTACTTTAGGTACTCTCTTAAAATAAGCATAATAACATTTTAACTTAAATCAACTTAACAATGTTTATCTTTTAAATCAAGGCAGAACTACAGGAATGTTCTTGTGGTTAGCTGAAAATTGTCATTTTGATCTAAAAAGGTTTAGACTGGCATTAAAGGTCCAAATTTTTTAATTTTTTTGTGAGTTTGGTCCAATTTGGTTTGATTTTTTTTTTTAAATGACGACTTTACCTTTTATAATTTCATTTTCTATTTTTTTAAAGAAAAAAAATGCACAAATGGTCCATGTGGTATGTTGAAAATTGTCACCTTAATCCAAAAAGGTTTGGACTTGCACCAGAGGTCCAAAGTTTTTATTTTGTTGCAAGTTTGGTCCAATTTGTTTTGAATTTTTATTAAAATGCTGATTTTTCCCTTGGTATTTTTTTTCATTTTTTTGTATTAACTTATTTATTAAAAAAATGTAAACAACCTCCCCTTTATCTACCTTTTATTTTTTTATTTTTGTGAACACCCTTTTATCACTTAACATGTCACACCCCTGGTTGACGCGTCAGAATACGCTGGACTGTGCGACTTAGTTCATGGATCACCAACAAATTGAATATATATCACAAGTTACAATAGTAACAACAAATGTTTAAGTACAAGGTTCATAATAATAATAAATTCATAAAATTTGCCTTAACAGATAGGCTGATATAACAAATACTTAGATAAAACTAGGTTGCCTGAAATCTATGAACGTTTCTCCTGCTAAAAACTGGTTTAATGATCTCATGAGAATACATGTATTTTGAGAGTTAACATAAAGGTTGGTGAGAGTTACATGTTTTCTGCTAACCATAGTAATGATACTTTAAAAGTCTAAGAAGTATTCATTTTATAGTTAAAATCATGTTGAAAATATTGATAAAAAGGGAAATTTTATTTTAATCCATACTTAAAGTGTTTGATAAAAAGAGAAAACATAATAAGTAAATCCATACTTAAAATGTTTGATAAAGAGAGAAAACATAAGTAAATCCATACTTAAAATGTTTGATAAATAGAGATATCGAAGTAAATCCATACTTCAAATGCTTGATAAACAGAGAAACCGAATCCGTTGTTTCTAGGTAAAGAGATCCAGTTAATGCTTATAACGAGTCCTATAACCGAACCATGTGACTAAAGTACCCACTACAACACTTCATTGGACGTAGCAGAAATGAATAAGATATTTATCATCCGTTTCGATTGATCGGTCGAGGTTGTAGCTAACAACCACAGATGGGGGTGTCAACCCGTATAGATCTATACATATGTATCTCAGCTCCGAAGATTAACAGTTAAAGTAGTGTGGGTATCCTAAGTATTTTTGCACTTTGGTAATGAATAATGTCTCACTCTTAAGGCCCTTAACTAAGATTTATCATGAAAAGTCGAGTATGCTCGATAAGAAAATTCATAAAGTGTATAGTACTCGCTCAGATAAATGAGAAATCTCATGGTAGGGTACACAAATACATAAATGACTTCAAGATATGAATTTAATAACTCATATATATATATATATATATATATATATATATATATATATATATATATATATATGATGTGAACTTGAAATATTACAAATGTGGTAACTTTTTATGACATACGTTTTGTAGCATACTTTGTCATAAAATCGTAATATTTTTGTAGTAGAATAATATGGTGTCTTGGCTAGTTGCATTATTTAAAAACAACTATAACATATATACATAAAACATAATTATCACTAGTTTATATGTAAATAAAGTATTTATTTAACAAAATAATATTTCGGCGGGGACCGTTGTCACGCGAGGCCTGATTAATGTGTTGGGCGGGGTCCATCG